CCCCCCCCCCATCACCCCGCGCCCTCCCCTCGCAATCTGCTTGAAACAAGATACGGTATGCCCTAGCACCAATTTAGCACTGAAAAAAGCAAACGAATTGAACAGAGATTAGCTGCTTGGCCTACTAGCGGAATCGAAACAACCTAGGACCTTCAGTTATCCTTGTACTGTTCCCGCCTTTAAATTTCTATCAGTAATATATGGAAGCCCGAAGCTGCTGCAATACTGTGATTGTAGGACGTAGCACTGTCTCATCAGGTGGGCCAAAACCTGCAGAAAAAAAATGACAAATGAAGAAATAAAGTTAATGCTTTCGATGCACCTGTATCACTGACCGGTCAAGTACCACCGAACTGATTCTCTGTTTACTGGCTTCAAAAAAAATTTACCTCTTTTACTTTAAGCCATTATAATTGAATAGCAATTACTGTTTCTACTTACACCTGAACTATTATTATTACTACTGCTATTTTCATTACCCTTATCATTCCAGAGCAATGCGGGTGGTAACATCACAGCTGAGAATACGTAATTGCAGAAACACTCACCGCAGGCGGTTTGATTTTTACAACGCCATAATCCTCAGCTTCAGCTTTAATTCTGGCTATGTATTCGATTGGATTGGTGAATTCCTCCTCGGTTGGATAAAACGTCGGCGCAAATGGTGGACGTTTGCAGTTCAGATAATACTCTCTGTAGTGCTCATCCATCTGTACCACTGTCCCTTTTCTTCGTTTAATTCAGACCAGATTTACGGAAAAATCAGATTCGGGGTCACTGCTAGATTCCCTGGAACGGTTGCCATAAATAAACCACGCTCAGGCTCTTTTAAAAGCACAAAAAAGAGAATTCCGTCCAAAAATGCAAAAGAGCAATAATATCTGAAGCAAATTATTTAACCCTCAAAATTTTAAAAATGAGAGAAAAGAACCAATAACATGGAACGAAAAGACTTAAACCTAGGAAAAAAAAACTCACCTATTAATCTATAGCCTTACTTGCCTCGGGCTGTGCAATTAGCATGAATTTATAATTAAGGTCGTGAATCAAGACACCAGACGAGACACTAACTGATTTCAGACATTTCCTCGAAAAAGGTCAAAGACTTCACTTTCAGAATCTCTGCTTCTCAGTTTTTGCAGCTTTGGAACTAAACAATGCGGTCACATAATAAATAAATGGCAGCGCGCACCAGACTAGCCGGTGCGATCATGCGTTTTGTGCAATTCAGCTCATCGAAACGATATTTGCCTGTTAATGATTTTCACTGCTTTGTACTTTAGTCTATGCAAAAATAGTTCAAACATTGAAAACCAGACGTAATGATTTTTACTTCCTTGTACTTTAGTCTATGCAAAAATAGTTCAAACATTGAAAAACAGTTAAGCCTGTTAATGATTTTCACTGCTTCGTACTTCAGTCTATGCAAAAATAGTTCAAACATTGGAAAACATTTAAAAATTTCACGCACCTGCGCATGAAAGCTGAATTCGAAACCTTGAAGGATGAATATCTTTCCGTGATTCCCGAGTTAATAGTTTATCTGCCAAAATTCTCACGAGGCCGTAGGTGGTAACCGAGAGCGCGAGGACGCTGAATTTGAATGGGCAAGGTTTAGCGTGGGCAGGGGGCCATCACCCTAAAACTTCAGCTTCCTAGACTCCGTGGTTCCCGAGATATTAACTTACCCGTGACTC